ACTCGTAACGTACTTTTAGTGCGAACAACACGATAGTAATCGACGTAAGTGTAAATTTTTGAAAAGCATCGGTATACGTATGCATCGGACCATTTACGTCACGAATTGGCAATTCGTGTACGTAATGTATGCATGGCGGCTGTGAAGAAACATTCACATCGGGATGCATCGAGAATTATATTTTATGGAAATGGATGTTGAATCGACGCCAAAGTTCTTACAGTGCGACAGTTATACGGGCGGTGAGTGCGGGCACAGTACCGCGTATATAGACAACAATAAGGCCGCGCCTTGTGCAGTAAACATTCTTTGCCGCAATCATTATGAATATAACCTATAAATTAGCAGAGAGCCGATCGAGAGCGGGCGGCCCGTATTGCGGGAATTTGCGATGAGGGCCGGGCACTGTCGCGCGCCCCTGCCAGACTCAATGGAATAACTGCACGCCGCAGTCGCCGGACTACGACTCTGCCAATTAGACTTTGAGCTGCACTTTACCCAAAGATCGATCTTGCAGATATGACCATGCTGGTGTAATAAATCAATACTTTCAGACAACCTTATATTGCAGTGTTCATGCAAAGTAGGAAGTTGAGGCTTAAAGTATAATTACAATTACTCACATTCACATAGTGTTTTGATTGTTAATTGTCATTTTGATATTTACATAATTTAACTAATTACTTTTTTACTATTAAAATTGTTTGATAATTTGTTAACAGTTTATTTTCTGTATCTAAGAAATTGCTGTCAAAGTAAAATTGTTAATAAAAACATAAAACATTTGATGTTTTATCAATTAGCAACTACCTACCTACTCAAATTGATTGATTTAGTTTAGTCACAGTAATAATAGCGATGGTGTTGTCTAATAGTATATATATATATATATTTGGAAACAGTATTTATATATGTTTGATATTATGTGTCGAATTTAAACTGTGTTTTTTTAAAGAGCAAAATATAATATATCACATAATATCTTCTCCTAGTTGTGAGCTCTATAGATGTTTAATCATAAAAATTGTATATGATGATTTCAGTAATATTTTCTAGGGAAATATTGATAGTAACTGTTATTTCGATCAACAGAAGCAATAAACCGATTCATAGTTTAACATTATACACTATTCGCCATACATTTCGATAATTTAACGTCCTTAAAAAATAGTAAAAATATCTCACAATTTTTTTATTACAGAATCCATTTGTTTTTAATTATTACGCACTTAGCTTTAGTTTGATAAGAAATTTGTACCTCTTATAAAACAATAGCACACGATATCGCTGTTATCGTCGGGTAAGAATACATTTGGGTTAATGGTTAATTAGGTCATACATTCGTGTATAAATTGAGAGGCAATAATGATTGTGGAGATAATATATATGAAGATTAACAATTAATAATATTGTCTAGACTAAAGAACCTACATATGTACTGTGGATATTTTCTGGCAAATTTACAGCCCCTGACAGATATGTGGCATACTGTCAGATTTGGAGGTGACAAGATGCGACGGTGTAGGACAGTATAGTTTTCAGAGTCCGTGCCGTCGTTACGTCACCAGACGTCGCGTCATCGGTTCTAAATATGTAGTTCTTCCGCGCGTAATCCGTTGCCCGCCGAAATTCACTTTTTCACACCCAGTCGAGGTCAAGGTGTAGAATGCATTATTCTATTTTAAATTGCGTAATCTTTTCTCGTTCATTTAATATAAGGAACAATACAAATATAATACTTGTGACATACACCAGTAAAGGTCAATTTCTTATCGGTTGTTAATTAATAACTGTAAACTTAGGCATATTGGCCGAGCTATATATAGATTAGGGCTGTGAAAATATATTTTAAATAATCATCAACGTTTTAGATATTTCAATTTGACATTATTAATACTATTACTACTAGATAAACGTAGAATCTACTTGGTTGATAAAGTGTACAGATCTATAGCTTATATGCCTTTTATTATCCATTAATATTTTTATATCTATAGGTATAATCGATAACCAAGTTAGGGATGCAATTATTTACTTATATGTGAACGAGAGACTTATCTGATCATACTTCAATGTTCAAGGTATTTTTATTGAAGCCATGGTTAATAAACTGCACTTAAATATTCAAGTATCCGTGTCATATATTTAATCCTCTTTCAAACATCTCATAAATATGCAACACATTTATGATAGGAAGTACTAAAGTCTTCTTAAGGAGTCGTATATTCTGCTTGAATTGAGTTTGCTGTAAGCTTTGGGCTGTATATGTTTTGCTAAGGTAGTAAGTACTAGTTGCGAATGATTTGCCCATGTTAGTGAGCTGAGCGAGTCTTGTGTCCGCCTAGTCGGCGCCGGAGACCAACATTCAACCCTATGCGTCTATGATACTCTCTGCTTAGATTCTGTGACACTATGATCTGTCGATGACCGTTAACTGTCGCGACATAAACACTAAACTTGCTATGCTAACAACTTACTCGAGCTGATTGGCGCGATTCCATTATACCACGGATGTGGGACGCGATGAATCAATTTAATATAAAGTATAACGAGTTATGACAATGCCATTAAACGAATTGATCTGGATGGTCGCCACTTTGTCTGGTACTGCGCCGGTGTATCAGTACTAATTGAGCGTGGGTTTATATTTTTTTGTATGTTTGCCACATCGTCGGTTTTTTGCTTCAGTACGTTCAAGCGAATTGTTACGCATCGGTAGTTTCTTTTCATGGTAATTATAAGCGTCGTCTTTACGGCGCCGGATTACATCACGGATTGGAAAACTCGGCGTGTCAATGAGGCTTGAAACGTTACGGCGCGACTAGACTAGAAAATGAAGTGATGGCACTACTCACATCACGTCGCTCTCGAGGTTACTTTCAAAAGTTTAAATTTACGTTAAATGACATTAATCAGTGGTGTTGGGCATGAGGCGCCGTAGACGGATCGCCTGTGCTCAGTGCACGATGTAAGCACGCATAAATATTCATCACACACACAAGCGAGATTTGCGCACGGGCGCCGAGAGTCGAGTCAAAGGTGCTTCGGCGCCGCTTGTGCCTCCATTACGTTTAGGGTTGACAATGTTTTTAACAATAATTCATTATGTATACACATCTCTTACGGAAATCATCAATTAATATCTGATATAGAGCATAATAACCTAGGATTCATAGATTTATCTATGAATCCTAATTATAAGTATTACGCTAATATTAAAAAAAAGGGACTGTTGTCGATACAAAGAACATGAATTTACAGCTGTTTATATGGATAAACTATAAATCAAGAAATTGAATACCTATGAACATATAATACTTAAGTTTTTTCGCATTATTACATGCACGTACAATCACACCATCGGCTACTCATCTTGTCTTACGCTTTGTTGTTATTCCGAGTTTCATAGTCCAAGTCAACGCCACACTGGCGCCGTTTACTAATAAATTTAGGGCTGTCTCTGTATATGAATTCGCGGAGTGAATTATGAATGTTGGCGCCGGACCGTGCTAGATCACAATCTGCCTTCAGACATGAAAACAGGTCCTCTCATCATGCTGTTTACTACATATACAATTTGCTGTTTATCATACAATTTGGCTCAGTACAGTCAGATGAAATTATTTTAAAACTAATAATAATAATATACGACTATTCTCTGATTCGATCTGATCCCAGATGGGGTAGTCAGAGGAGAGTTGCCAATTGTCGACGTTATGATGAACGCAACATATGACTTGTCGAGATGCATATGGAATTCAACATGACAGGGGCCTAAAGCTGTCTTAATAATTTTTTATCATCGGGTAATTATATAAATTTATATTTACATATGTTTTTTTGTCAGATTTATTGCGTCTGTAATACCGTAATATATATGCAACTAATAAATATTACTATACTTAAAAAAAACATCTTAAATTTTAGTTTTTTTACAATTATCTACTCAAACTAAATAGTATAATTTATTCTTAAATTATAATCTTCTATAAATTTTGTCTTAAATTATATTCTTCTATATTCTTATAATTCAAAATCATTTAATCAATTTTTTATCAGATACAAATGCAACAAACTGAATAATATTAACTTAGCGATTGATTCTACTCTGGTAATTCGACATGAAACTTTGCCACGTACATCAAAAAATTGCCACTCAAATTTTACTTGTACAAATGTTGATTATTTTCTATTAAAGTCAAGCAAATATGTGGCAAGATAGTATTTATGTAATGTAGTTTCATAACACCTTTCCACATTAACCTCGGAAATTCAATAAATCATGTTACAAATTCCTGGGCTTTACGACTATTTAACGAGCGCATCGACAAATCGGGTACAATCATACTGTCGTGCAAAATGTCAGTGCTCTCTCCATTTCTGTACAGAGCAGACCCAACAAGAAAACTATGCAAAGCACAAATTCTACCGTCGCCGTCTAGACGCCTGTCCTGTTACGATTGAATAACATTTGATCCAATCAACCAGAATGGAAGGGTCGGAGAGGTCTTGCGAACCATCATCGCAGCAGTCGCAAACGTAATTCGCAATCAATTGATCGAAAGCCCCGTTTTTATGAGGCACTGTGGTGGATCGAGAAAGTATTAATCGTGTGTTATGAGATTCATAACCAGAAAAAACATTTGTGTTCCTCATAATATCGCAACTTTAGACATACTTTAGGAATCGTAGGTTCTCAATGTTATTTACCGGGAATTTTACATAACTTCGCGACTGCTCCTTTGTGTAAATAGAATTATTCCTTCTAATTTTTTTTCCATTATGATTTTTTATATTAGAATGATCTACAAGAAAATAAAAGTCTGGTCTGATCTAGACAGTCGCAAGGCGAATCAGTCATTTCATAATCTACTGTTATAATATTGTTTTTACTTCATCATATAGTTCTCTTTATATCTCATTTACGTATATTATTGCATAAGTCACCATTTAATTTTACTAGCAAATCAGTTAAAAAAATCTTATTTTGTTTGTTGCAGCACCGGACATAGTGCAACTGGACAGTCCATCGGTCATCGTTGTGGAAGAAATACTTAGCATGAAACGTAAGTGTAATATAAAATTTAAATTTTTTTTATTGATATAATTTGTTTACAAGATAATTCTCGCTTATACATTTTCAAAATTAATCGAGATGGATGACTTTGATTGATATGTATGGATGTATTGGTATATATCTCATTTGCATAAGTTTTCCTCTTACATTATTTGGGCTTAGCATAATAAAATGGACCTGCTTAAATTTTTAAGGATATATAAACGTTTATTACTTATTCTTGAAATGATAACATGTAAATCACGTAACAGAATTATCCTTAATTAGAATTATTAGAAGTATACATGTCTTAAACCTATTTAAGTCTGGACTGGAATGGTTAAATGGTTTAATTGTTTTAATTAAGGGTGAATACTGTTGCAGATCAAACTAAATTATAGTTATTTTTCTATCCAGATTTTGGGGCGTTGCTGACTGGTCGATCTCCACTATGCATCAGACGTGATGACATGACGGGAGTGCCAGTTGCCAGGGGAGTGGCTACAGCACGCTTCATCTTCCGTCGCCGACATCTGTTCTGGTCCGTTCAACTTGGTACTTCGATCACGATTAAGCCAAGAGCACTCTTGTTCTTAGATCGGGAAGGACGATTATTGATCGAACAATCTTTAGCAAAAGTACCTGGCCTTCACGCTACGTATGAAGATAAAACCGATAAGGTTCGTTATTAGCAATCTTTGAAAATATATATAATTTGATGCATGGATATAATTAGTTGTATATTTTATCATTATATTAGAAAAGTATAAATGTATCTGATTTTCTAATTAATATATACCGGTAGGCATATCAATGCCTGGTATGTGGTCTATAGCTTTAAATAGCGACTAGGATCCATAAGGGTACATACCTAGAGCAAGATAGTATATTTTGTAATGTACACATATAGTCTATATACGTAAGTGCTTGGAATATTTATCAAATTAGTCATTTGTTCCTTCTTATTACTAGCACTTTTAAAATTATCACTACCACTTATAACGTAACTGCTGCAGATAAACTATGTTATAAGTTAACTTAAATATAAAATTTGGGAATTTTAACATTATGCATTATTTTATAGCTATGCGGCGTTTGGCGTAGAGTACCAAGGGAATACAAACGTCTGTTGAGAGATGGATCTTTATTCATAGCACTGATATGGGGCGATGCAGAAAATAACACTATGGAGAGTGCCCTGAGTGGTAGAATTGACAGGTATTATGAGCAGCATTGTTACAATTTTAGTACTTACTTAAATTATTCTCCTTATCGGTAATTATAATTATAACTAAATATAATTATAATTAGATATGCCTCTTCACAAGTTCGTGTCAGTTTTATGATCTCTGATCTGTGTTATTCTGTATTTCAGTTTTTGAAAATGTAATGAAATATATGCAGTATGCACGTAACTTTGTATTATAGAAATATCTAATATATCAGTATGATACTCATGCAATTAATTTACCCTTGAACAGTTATTCCAAAGAAAGAACAGAAGTAGTGTTTATTGTTGATTGTAAATTGAATTAGCCGTGTGAATAGTGACGGAAAGTCCCTCGGTTCTGTTTAAAACTGGTCTAGGAAAATACCGACTGACTGCGTTGGTTGCGAATTCTGACTCACTTTTGAAATTCCAGTTGTTTATAATCTGACAATTGTCTAATCGTTTTGTACCGAGGCTATTTTATTAACGTACAAGAATAATTGCCTCCATTTGTTTGATGAATAAGAATTCTTGAAACTAACACGCATTCTACGTGTATAACGTTTACGTTTATCTCAAAATATGTTTTTGATGATGTTTATTTAGTATTAATAATATTTTTATGTTCTATAAATTAATTTAGTGCGTTGTAGTTTTTATTATTTAGTAAATTTAAAAAAAAACTACTTATGCCATGTAAATGGTGAAACTATATGGTGTAAGTCTATAGTAATATTTGTATTTGGATAAATTAGGGAATAACTTATTATTATGAATTTTGAATTTTTCCAGCATATTCTAACCATGACTTTGTTATAAATTACAGATATCCTGCATTAACATCAGAAATGTTTACGACATTACTAGAGCCTGAACATCTTCCTCCGCCACCGGGCAATAGTGCCTGTGAAGACAGTTTCCAACCTGGTCAAACGAGTTTGGCCCTTACTGGTCAGCAGGAAGGATGGGGAGGGACTGCTGTGGTAACGGGAGTGGCTGGAGCTGCTCCAAGTCTTCACTTCGCTATTGCATATAATGGCATTTTCTCGCCTACACCACGAGAAAAGGAACAAGCTGTTCGTGTAGTGCTGACGATGTCGGATAAAAACCAAACCATTATTGACGAGGTTAGTAATAATTAAAATAGGTATTTTTATGTAATGAGTATAATATATTGTATTCTGTACGATAAATCAATTTTGGCTGCAGTGTATTAGCACAAATAAAATAATTTTACAGTATTTATGATATGATGTATGGAATTTTGAATTGCTATTCATAATTCCATAATGACTTCATACCTTTCATACTTTAATTATAAAGAAAATTGCTAGGTCATAATAAATAATGACGTTATTTTTTACAGATTCATCAAATTGCCAAGCCGGGCTACGAATTGAACGTCCTCGAAGTGTCCACGCCGGTTACAGCTGCTCAGCTACGCTCTTTAGCCAGAGGTCGATTGCTTCTCTCGATTGAGGATATTGCGGCACCAGAAAGACGTATTACTGGGAGAGTGATGCAGAAAGCTACATGCGAAGTTTATCATGCACCATTAGTTGCGGAGAGACTACCAGCGTCTTCAGTTCCTGAAGGACTAGCACTCCTTTACATCGATAAGGAGGGATCACTTGTCTATGACATACAGGTAACTATTATTTGTTCAGTTATAAGTATACAAATGTATCATTAAATAGTAATTGCTTTTTTGGGAGCTGTAATGGCAAACAAGCAAACGCCTCATTAAGTCATAATGTCAACAGTACTACAATCTTGTACCCATTTAGATTTATTTTCTTTTAATGCAACAGCGGCAAAATATTAAACCTTATTATAAGTTTTATTTAATCCGCAAAATCATCATAATAGTTCTACATATGATATAATAAATGTAGTAATAATAATATAAATTAAGTAAATTGTTAAATAGAAGGTCAATAATATGGAGCAATTTGCTCAATAAGTAAGAATTGGTTTAATTATTTAACACTTGTATATTACAGATTGACAATTTAGATGCAATTGATCCTAAAATAACGCTGGTAGAAGAGCAAGGAAAGCGTCACTCTCAAGTGGAAATATTAGACACTAGGACAGGAGTACTGGCAAGGCCTAGCGCACGAATATTTCCTCCTCTGTACGACGATCAACTGGCAGTACATATTGGCGGAGATCTCGGTAAGATATAAATAATAGCTAAATATGTTACAGTAGCCGTAGCCCTCGGCTTTACCCGCATTTAGTCCGTCCCTCGACTCCACTGGATTGCATCATATTACACATTCCCGTTGCCGCGCGATAGATTATGATTAGTTCATAAAGGTTAGCGTGATATTAAACTTCTCAAGAGTCGGATCATTAAATGAAAAAAGGCTTTTTTTCAAATCTGACGCTAGTTTCAGAGTTTAGTGCGTTCTGACAAATAAACTCGACTATACTGATGTATATTTTTGTATGTTATTTCATTATATAATAATTCAATGGTGTATGCGGCTGAATTAGATACTAACATAATATAGACATGTCACGTGTAAAATCTAGACATTAAATTACATATTAACATTGAATCATATCTCGAAAACTATGACATATCACTAAAGTATTAAATCAGACTGAATTGTATATTTCAGGTCCACCTCTACTTCGAGGTAGATTGGTATCCCGACCGTTGCCAGATGCTGCCAATGGTGGGCCCGCTTTACTGAAACGCACAGATGCCCTCGTCCCTGTCACAGCAAATCCTGTTGCAGGGCTCGCTTGGGTCTCTGTTGATGCATTATGTGGGCTGCATTATGAGGTAATGTCTGAATATTTTTTATTATATGGTTACTAATGCCCATTACTTATAACGCTACATTGCGTTATAGTAAATGGCACCGCTTTACTTTTTTAGGTTAATATAGCGTTAATAAGTCTTTTTCAAGTATTAAATGCAAAAATATATTTTCACGTATAGAACCAGTAATTTCAGAGCGCGTTGAAACAAACAAAACACTGCTACGTGATGGCAATGCAATTCAAGCATGACGCTGAGCCCGTTCCTCTTATAGTGATGTCCAGTACTTAAGTACTTACAAGGGTTATGGTACTCAGATTATTATTTGTTTTAGGTTGTTATAACGGGTAACGTGGGCACATGGACACCATGGCTCGATACCCATGCAATTGATGGTGGTAACATTAGGCCACTTGTAGGTTTTGAAGGCTGCGTCTTGGAACCTTCTCCGGCCGAACTGTTGTCCTTACATACTGGAACTGCATATCTAGGCATACGCGGCGCCGATAACACCACGACAGTATTGCTTACGCTGATACCCAAGGTATGTTATAATATATATTCTTAATTCGACCGAGGTACACTTTGTACAAAGTTTTCTGCGTGCGTACCAGTTCAGCCAGCCCCAAAGCTTGCCTTGTAAACTGCGTTGCGATTAATATGGCACAAAAAGTACCTGGTATGGCGGCATGATACCTTAGTCCTTTGAGATAGTATTGCATGAGGGTTATCATTGGCGTCATATAATGACCTGAAGTTATCATGTATATAGACGATGATTGCCATATGATACTTTTAAATTTATTCAGAAATCTTCTATTTACTTATTAATTATATTTATTGTTTTGTTCATGCTTATGAAAGGCTATACAAAAAAGGTAAGTTTGTAGTATTGTATGCACTGCATGCATTTATTTACGGCTCATAGTAAAATTATAGTACAGTAGGTTTTTATCCCGTCTTAATCGGAAGGTCGTGAGTTAGAATTCGGCTACCAAATATACTTTTATGATTATGTATAAATTTATATTTCTGCTTACTCTCAGTGGAAACATCTACCTATATCAAATTAATTGATTACGATGTTGGCTTTACTTGGTCGGCCGCCATATTGGATTCTAATACACCTAGCTATATATAGCTTGTTATGAATATATCATTCATTACATTCATGGGTCTCTGAGAATGCTTCTGAATGCCCTATCTAGATTAACTCTCGAGAAGGATTTTTTTATACGAAAAAATACCATTTCGATGATATCATATGTGGTAACATATTATTCGATATTTACAGTTAAGCGTACCGATATCGTGTATGGACAACACCTATTTAAATACGAAGTATATGCCCAATACGCCCACGTACTTGAAGACGTCGTACCCACCAGACCGCCGTTTGAGTGACATGAACCAACTTTCGAAAACTACGTCGTGCTATTATGAAGGAGAATTGCACACAGATGGATCGCAATGGATAGTTCCCAAGGTAACATCTTATTATTTTCACGTTATTAGAATAACCCGTGGCGCTACCCCTAAAATATGTACTCGCCGATGAAGTATTAAATACTATCGCATTCTGTGAATGGAATAAATTTTAAAATCAGTTAAGTAGTTTTTGAGTTTATTCGTTACAAAAAGAAATTAAATTTAACTTCTGTATGTAATTAGTCGAAAAGTATCTGTAAATATATTTTAAAATTATATATTTCAAGTCAATTTCAAATGTACATTTGGTTGTCAATTTAGCTATACTTTTTTATATAGATATCATGAACAACAATTATATAAATGAATTATAATCTTTCTCTACCATGTTGTTCATGAAGTGTATACATACACGTATATGTATACATACTTATTACATTACAGTCTTGCACCATCTGTGGTTGCGTATACGGGGAATCACGATGTGATCCCATAAGATGCCCGCCAGTACACTGCACGGTGCCCACTATTACGCCGCCAGGGCAGTGCTGTCCTATTTGCACTAGTGAGTATTAATTTTTATATAACTGGATTGGTAAATATGCTAACGTTCCACCCAGACGTAAGTGGCACCCGTTGCCTATACGTGCTTCATGCACCATGTACATTATTGTACATTATAGCATTATTCCACGCGATGCCATTCAGAAGTTAAGGAATTTTGGAAAGTTTACCTGGTTTTTTGAAATTTATAAAGATTATAATCAAAATCAGTTATATTTATCTTTTATTCAACAGTGATTTATTTTGACTGCATATGAATATTTATTCCTTACTATTGTAGATAAATTGGTTAACTTTGTGGAAAAACACCCTTTCTTACCAATAAAAATATTTTGAAAATTTAATCTCAGACTCGGAAATCTTTAATTTAGTGTTTAGACATTTCCAACAAAATTCAAATTTTAAATATTCAGTTCGAGTTCACCTATGTTGTCTATAAGAAATGAAAAGAGTTCTATGTATTGCAACTGTTAACGCGTTTTCTGAATAATTCTGTAATTTTATACGTCAGCCGTTTTTAACTGGCTACTTATATTCTGTGTGTCCTACAAAGTTGACACTTTGAAATCTTTGCTATTACAGATTCTTCAACAGCCGTATGGAACGATTCTCATGGATGCCATTTAGCTGGCCAGTACCATTCTCCCGGCTCCTCGTGGCACCCATACTTACTTCCCGAAGGTTACGACACATGTGCTGTGTGCACGTGTGAGTATTCAACGAGACAAGTGCGATGTCCGAGAGTGCATTGTCCACCGCTCAGATGCGCCGAGAAGGACTCATATAGACCCGATAAGAAGGCGTGCTGCCGAGTTTGCCCAGAGGTAAAAAAAATTTTAACAGGCATATAAAAACTAAAGTCGCTACTGTTGTTCAGATGCGACAGTCAGAGACATTGTTATCTGTTGATGTGGTTAATGTAACAGTAAACATGCCCATATTTCGCTCTAATCGAACGTGGCAGCGAACGAGCCCACCGCCCTGTCTTGGATTAATTTTTTATTTGATATCAGTGTTTCCTTCACTTCATTGTAGAGTTATTGAGAAATATAAATTAACACAGTTTCTTTTTTTTGTCGGCCATATTTGAACTCCAGGTCTTTTGTAGTACTATTTACAAAGTACATTAATATTGGAATATTAGGCTGGGTCGGTTATGTTATGAAAGGGAAATACGAACGAACTACTACTTCTATGAATCCTCCCTCCCCCCTCCCCCAAGTCACTATATATGATGCATGATTGTAATACTGAGGAATATAGCACTATTCAACACATATGAGTATGTTTTCTGCCTTATGCATTAAAAACTGTATGTCAGTTTAGTGGATTATTTCGAATTTGTAGTATACGTCACAGTCGTTCATGGAAACTATTCTTTAGAAATCAGAGAATAGTTTCCATGAACTGCTGTGAAACCACACCTTTCTAATATTACCCAATATCAAAAATTATTTGTAATTATAGGTAAAAACGAAAAAACCGGAGGACTTAACACCAAAGGATCAAGCTGCCCCACGGACCGCAGAAGAGATCCTTGCCGAAGGAGGTTGCAAATTCCCCGATGGGCCTTTGATGAATGGCGTAGAAGTACATCCATCAATACATTCGCATGGTGAACAGAGATGTGTCACTTGCCGTTGCAAGGTCAGTCAGTTTCATTGTAAGAATATGATCATATTACGCGATTGTAGATTTTAGCTAATCTGTATTGGCATAACAATACGCGACATTGAAATTTATTTTTACTATTTAGAATGGTAAATGAGCTGATAGTAATTCTAATAAAGTAATTATCCGTAAAGTAAAGAATCAGTACCACGAAATCTTACATTGTAACGCCTATCCTGCTCTTGATGTCAAAACTAACGTGTTATGCCTCATACCCAAAATAATTAAATATAACCTCTCTTTAAACGCAGAACTCACTCATTCGCAGACTCGGATTACATTTGTTCAATTTGGCGGAAAAGCACATATGTTGCAGTCTGGTTTAATCATCTGCTCCTCGTCGTACTAGTATATATTTAATTAAGTGCAGTAAGTGTAACTAATTCTAGTTGTTCTAATGCAGGACGGCGAGGTGACATGCGTACGTAAACGTTGCAACCGCGCCTTGTGCGCGCGGCGTAGACGCGGCGACGCTTGCTGCGCGTGTGCACGCCCGCGCCGCCCACGCCCGCCGCCGCCTCCGCCGCCAAGCTGAGCGACCGCGCCCGCACCCCGGACACAGTATTACTGCGCCCGACCCCGTCTATACCCCAGACTGCTCGTAGGCTAAGTGAGTGACTATAGACTGATATATTTTTATGTACTCGTGCGATTCGAATGTGTAGGTTAAGGCTGCGCCCTGTGATGTTGCGCTTCGATGAAACCGCTCGACGCGTCGAGTGTGCGCGTGCTCGCTGCTGTGCAGTAGATCGCGGCACGTGGGGCGACAGGGGTGTAAGGTTCGTCGTGGATTTTTCGGTTTCGTCGCAGGCGACATCTTTCGTTTGTTCGACGAGGTAGACGGTTTGCGGCGGACTGCGTGACGGCTCGGAGTCGGCCGACGGCGGAGTAGCTTTACTGTTTAATACTGAACGACTATGATTATTATATTTACCCACCGGTATTTTAATTGGTTTTATGAGATGTCCCGAAATTTTGTAGGCGCATTGTATTATGTCACCCAATACTGAGATGATAGTGTTAGTCGTACGGCTCGACTGCTCGGTTTATGGCAGGAAAGGTGCGAGCGCGGTCGATAAAGATGTGCCATATTTTCTTATTGTAAATATAAATTATTACTTTAATATTACTTATGTGCATATTTATTTACGTTTGTAATGTAAACAATGAGGGATCATGTTACGTTCGAGTACTCATGTTTGATCATCACAAACTCGCATTATATGATCGCCTTATTTGTGCATTTGCTTTTAGTCTTGTATAATTATAATTTAATACCATACAAATTATAGTGTAACCTGTATTCTGATATTACCTATTCTTATTTAATGAGTCAATGTGTAAGTAGATTACCCATGTTATTATATGCAGTAGAATACTTTATACCACAAAATATACCTAATTAAATATTTATTAAGTATTTTTTTATTTAAAGCATAAAATGCGCGTTATACTAATGATGAACGCTTAACCCGAGTGCTTATCGATTGCTCAAGCGTTTGGTTAATTAGGAATTTGTCTTTATATAAGCATGCTCATGTAATGTAATACATATATAGCATTACACAAGCACGCCCTAGGACTTAAATTTATTTAGTGGTCTGAAAATTGTTTATAAATGTCAGGCAAGAACGTAAATGTAAATAAAATATAATATTTCTTATAAATATTATTTTAACATTGTATACTATTTTATAAACTTAACATAATGGATTGTACCGATTTAGTTAAGCACTATATTATGTCAGTTACGTGACTAGTTTTTATTAATTACTAGGTTAACTAATATTTGTAATTAAGGAAGCTAGTCCAAATGTTTTGATGTGATGGAAATGAATGCCATGTAGATAGATTATACGTCTGTCCAGAATTATTACTTATTGATTAAACGAGTATATACTTTACTTTATTTACACAAGTGTGTACACACAAACTGCATTTGTACGCAAGCTACAGACAGGTCTATGGCATTGATGAATTTTGTATGACATTATAATAATAGCAATTTTATTGTCAAACAACACAATAGAAGTATAAGGAAAATCCCATATATACTATATGGCGTGTATAATCTTCTAAACAAATTATCTAATTACTGACAGTTGGAATTCATACTATTACTCTAAGTTCATTTGAGTATCATAAAGCTGTTGCTTTAATATAGTAACGAGTACATTGTAGCTTGCGTATTTAATAATGCGTGTTTATTTAAACCTCATTATAGTTTCAATATATTAAAAAATCGAAATTAAAAAAAATATCTAACAAGGACAGAAATGTATTAAGGTTTTGGAATATTTTCATACGCGTTGCCAAAAATTTGTAAAGTTTTATGAAATAAATTTTGTTGTTGTGGGTTCTAGTCCATCAAAATTTCGAGAAGGTATAAGTATTGTAACGGCTATAAGAATATTATTGGTTTTTTTACGTAACGAAAATATTATTCAATTATACGAGAGTTATCACGTTTTTAATATTTTTGTATTATCTAACAGTAGCAAAGTAGGCTCCTATGGCTTGCAAATAACAAACTAATGGCCATAAAGGATACTATAAAATCGCTTGTATTGCATTGTTTTCTATTTGTTAATTATAAGCGTTATTCTCCCGTTTTTCGGCCTCGAGGGAAGATTATTAAAAAATACATTTTTTCGAAAAGAAAACATATTGTAACTTTTTGATGTAGTTAGTGTCATCTGGTATTACATAGTTTGGTTAAATTACATCCAGTCAATATTAGTTTGTAAACAGAAACAGTCCTAATATGAAATAAATCACCTGAGAAAATAATATGTTGTTTTAAAATTACGTAATACTTAACAACCTACTCTGTCTGGATAGACGAATTACCAAATTCAGCTTTACATAATTTATAAAAAGTTTAGATATACGATTACGATAACTACTTTACGTCACGAATATCTTGGTCTTTCCTTTTGGTTAAATTTGATGCAAATATCAAATATACATTGACGTTGACTAGCGCATCCAGCTGACCCCTCAACTCTATTAAGGGATCACAAAAATTTTTAATAATAAAAACAACTTTATAAATACCTTAGATTGCAAGACCATGTTTAATGAAAATACCGGTATATCTCAGTTATCTCACTCCCAAAAACCAAAAACCCAACTGAACTAGAATCACTTGAGTTCCATAAACAGTTTATGACAGGAGTACAGGAGCAGAGTTGGGTGCGGAAAGAAAATGAAAGACCGAGATAGTTAAATCATGATTGGTCTCCTGCTTTATTCAACATTAACCTAACATAAACCTTCGAAATCATCCTCCTAGATCAAAGTAATTTAGTAAGATGGGGGAAAATATTTGATCTGAAATCTTGCTATACTTGTGGTGATGCAATTAGAATAACAGGGCATATCTTGGTGAGAGGCAAGGTTCTCTTCAATAGGGTGTAGGTCTTCAAATTCACGATGATTACTCACCATGAGAATATTTCAAATTGTACATGAAGCTATAAGTCATTTAGTAGCTAGACTTGCCAGCAAGACTTGACGTAGCCACATACAAACGACAAATTAACTTTATAAAAACAACGTAGGCTCAACTTAAAACTATAGTATTATATGTACACATTATATAGTTATACAGTATATTAATATATATTATATATACATATACTATTTCAATGGACATGCATAAAATTCGAGAGGACGAAATTTGACAAAGGGTATTGTGTTGTAAGGGTATAAGTGGTTGTATTTTAAACCTACACCCGGGTCACAAGTCCCGGAAACTGCACAGAGTTTCCATCTTTACTATACGTTGGACCCGGCATCCGTAAATGAATTTGATAGGTTAAAAGGAGGCTTGAAATGGATAGGTGAATCCATGGAATGCTAAGAAGTTCATTTATATTTATCTGCACTAACTTGTATATCATACACGTGTAAGGACAAATATCTTGATACACTCCTACGTACGCCAATATTTACTATGTCTAAAATTATACTCTATAATATTACCAGTACTTAAAATAATAAATTATATATTAATTAACAAGAAAAACTTTATAGTACAAATTTAGGCAACATAAAACGAAATTAATTTCACGTCAAAATTATTGAGCGAGAGAGATTTCTTCAGTTTCAACATATCTTTTTAAATAACTTTTGTATAATATGTGGCTAGTTTGTAATACCTATTTTTTCATATCACGGATCATTACCACTTAAGAGTAGATGTAAAATTTATAGAGAAGACTTTTTAAGAGCGCCCAGTGTGTCTGCTAATGCATCGACTATAGCATCCACCACTTGTTTAGTAGAGTTAAAGCCCATGGTGCCGATACGGAGTGCCTTGCCAACTGTAGGCCCCACCCCGAGGGATATTAGGATGTTGTGCCTGTAACATAATATATTCTTTAGTCATTATATGGGTTTTGTATTTGTTTAAAAATAATATATCATCATGTAAATAGGTACATTTATAACTGTTGTTACGTATCCATATAACAATCTGGATTTCGACGACATTTTGTTATCTGTGCAAAAAAACTCGTTAATATTCTATTCCATGGTAGGAATCTTTTAACAGCAGATGAGAATATTGACTATATTTAATTTTTATATTTTTGAATATATTTTTGGTTTATTCATTTTACGAGGATTACAAGCAGTTGTGACATATATAACATTCTTTTTTTCCCAGTTCACTATATATCACCATCGATGAAATATTCAAGGCTTATTGATAGATATAATTATGTAGTGTATAATATTTAGATACTTACTTATTTCTCATATAATTCACAAACTCTACATGGTCGTAATCTTTTGGCAGAACCACAGTCGTCACAGTCACCAGTCGGTCTTCAGGTTTGGGGATTAGAAATTCTAGAGGAAGACCTTGAATACGTTTATGGAAGTATGCTGTGGTCTCAGTGTGGCGAGCCCAAACCTTAGGCAGAGTCTCCTTGATTATTTCCATTAAACAGCTTCGAAGTGCCCATAGCAATGGTGGTGATAATGAGGATAGTGAGTGATGGTGATATCTGTGAAATATGTATAATGAACGTTTGAATTTTGAAGTAGCATTATCTGAAAAGTGGCGGTTGCCTTAGTCCGCCAACGGCAAGTCGTGAAAAGTACCAAGGGCGTTACCTAATGATCGTGTTCAGGTATATAGGCAGTTGTGATTTACTATCAGGTACTTCGCCAGCATGTTTTATAGTTACAAAAAGAAATATAATTATCTATGGTACAAAGATAAAAAAATAATATATTTATTATTTTGACATAGTATATATATATATATAATAGTAAGCAATACGCCTTAATAGAGATATATTCTCTTCTGTTATTCGATAATGACAACGTTTAGATGTTAGATAATATGTAGATTTCAAATAATTAGATTTAGAATATCTTCGGCCCAGAATAGAGTATATTTAGACAGGGTATATCTTTGACAGACGTGTCTTAGACTATTACGATTATATGGAGAAAATAAACAAATACATACGTAGTATCTTCAAAGCAGTTCCATTGTGCAGCCAATAATTCAACGTCGAAGGAAAAAGGTGGTTTAAAATTCCTCTTTTTAATAACTTTTCTGAAAAGCATGAAATATAAATCTTACACCTATTTAATTGTAAACTTCTGTCAGGTTCTATATCTTTTCTAGACCAAAGATTCAAATATAAGAAGATATAGAATAAATGTCAATAATTTATAATACTCTAATTCAGATGAAGATTATTATATTAAATGATATAATTTAGAATAAGGGTATATTTTAAACTCATACTGTTAATTGGTACGAAGAATTTAAAAAAGGAAATATGTAAATTAATAGAAATATATTAAAAAATTAAAAGAATTAAACAGAGATAAGATATAAATAAAAAAAAATCCAATTGGATATATATATATATATATATATATAAGAGTTTATCTATAGAATATACAATATAGATAGATAATACAAGTCAAGTTTTGTACATACCCGTAGTTCGCCGTATATTTGTGTAAAATTTATTAAATTTCTAACAGACTCGGAAAGTATTGTAAAATTGTTTTTATGGCTATTGGCTGAAGTGGTATTGAGGGTCATAAAAGTAGGATAAGAAAATAGTACTGTAACATACTGGGCTCGCTCGCTGAATGCAACAGGTGAAATACCCGCCGGTCCACTGAGTCCTTTCTGAGTAGAGGTGCAAATTCCATCTACGCCCCATTCATCTGTGAAGAACGGTTCGCCGCCCAGAGAAACCACTGTGTCCACTAATAGGAGAGCACCATATCTATAAATTAATTATGTACGATTTTAGAGAAGAGGCTTTTCATTTAACTCAATGGCAAACAAGCTGATGGCCTACCTGGTGGTAAGCGATAACAGTCGCTTATATATGTACATGAAGCGACACGGATATGATTTGTACCCCTCACGTATTGCTATTTCAGCAGGAGCAAGATGTTATGGCTCCGTATTCTGTAATTTCACTCTCAAATCGCACTTTCCAACCGAAAAGCTTGCAAAGAACCTTGAACCTTGATTGCAAAGAAGATTGAGACACCTCTGTCTTAATCATATCCGATGACTTTGTAAAAATGGCTAACGGTATGACAGATTTTGTAATAAAATAGGAGTTGTGTGTAAGCTGATGGGCTATCTGATGGAAAATGGTATTTGTTATCTATATCCATCTATTGTCATCTGTATACATCAGGACACATAATAAATTACGACGCCCGCGTTACATCGCATGCGGACTGTTTTCGCGGATTCCGGAAGAATAAGTAAGTATGCCTCTGCACCTTGTAATTTCACTGACCTTTCTAACACTCTACACAATACAATCAGAATACAGCTTGCTAATTAAGCTAATTAGTAGCGAAGTTCTGGAAAGACTGAACTAGTCTTTGATGATTGTGATGACTGCAGATTCGGTTTAAACAGCTCAAGCTGAGTGCTTTCCACAGTCATCACACTTCATGTCGTAAATTACATAAAGTCGACACATGCAACTGAAGATGAAGTCAAGTCAAACGAATGCAGTTCATGTTTATTAACACCTATCATTCTACAGATATAATCTATAAATACTAAATGAGTTACTAACTTATGACACAGTGTTCCGAGCCCTTCGATTTTTTGCACTGAACCCGTAGATGAATCGCCATGAGTGATATATACTGCCATAGGTCGTATTCTCTTCAGAAGGTCCTCGATAAGAGTAAAGCTAAAGGTAGCAGTAAATGGAACTCGATGTACAAATGTATCGATACCTGTAAAAGCAAATTTAAAAACCATAATTAAAATATTTATTATATAATATTGCCAGTAAGAAAATTATATGTAAAATGTTAAAGTATAGGTAACATCTTATTAAAATGTACCCACGCGTATCTTTTATTAAATTCGAGTATATAGCAGTAGATATATTATTTAATAATTAATTGGATCAGTTATGTACCATTCGTGTTCTGTGAAAACGCAATAAATAGCAAATTAAAACGTCATTAACGACGTCATTCATGCAAGTATTGTCATTAAAATACCAAGTAATATGTAATTAATTAAAAAATACTATAAGTCCGAAAGGGGAATTCAGAACACAAATGGTGCAAAACGGGACATTTCAATATCAAATCAATGGAATTTTTATTTAAAAGTAGACCAGCATATATACCACATACTCGTACCACAGATAACATAATATTACATACTCGTACTTACCATATCTTTTAGTCATCTCCAGTGCTCGATCGTCCCATTGACCCCTGCTACATAGCAGTAGTTTTTCTTTAGGGCCAATTAAATTGCTTATAATAGTTTCCATTCCAGCATTTCCCGAACCAATCACAGCAAGTACCAGCTCACTTTTGGTTTGAAACAAATATTGTAAACCAGCACGGATATCAAACATCACCTAAAAATTAAAATATTATTCCGACGTTTCTTACAAATATTGATTTCTATCAGATTATGTAGAATGGTGGCCGTAGTAACCTGCCTGTATGAGTAAACACTGGTGGCGCAAGTAGTACATACTAACATGGGAATGAAAGGGTAATTCATGATGAATTCAACAGGAAGTAACTTGAATGACATCTAGAGCGCCCGGCATGCAGGCTGACTTGACATAGTTAATCGGATATTTAAATATCCTCTTCTTCTTATTGTGGACTATGGTAGAAAATTGTCAAAATTGTCGGAATAATCACCTGTCCTATTGGTCAGATAATCAATTTCTTTTAATAGTAACTTTTAAGTGTATTAAATTTAAAGTAAATAAACCTATGCATACCTGAGACAGTTCATCGTAAAATGGCGATAGAATTGGTCTTGTGAGAGCTTCAGCAACAGAGGGCCAAATATCACATGGTCCCGGACTACAAAGCAACGGTTTCGTGTACTGACGATCCTCTATTTTCGGAGCCGGAATAGTTAGCTTGTCTTTGTACATCTTTTACTTTTATTGCTGTTTAAAGTAAGATTATATAAAAATCGATGCGAAAATATCAAATAGATGTTCAATTATATATTTCTTATAATTATTTTGCCAGGGGGAAGAATTGTACAAACTAGCCTGCGTAGGTAGTTCCGTTTTACCAATTTCTGTTACCAAGCCGCTTTCATAGCAAGTTGTGTTGCAGTGTGAAGCCAAAGATATGTCATCACCATTTCAATCTACAGAAATGGAAACGCATGAGGCTAGCATTATAAATTCATTCTGTTTATACATATCTATTTGTAACCTTGAAGAGAGCAGTAAGTAGTTCCGTAGGTAGATAAAACATATTGCGACGTTTAGTAATAAAATTATTTGGTTATATACCTAGAAACATTTATTAAATAAGAGTAGGATGATAATAAAAGGTCAGATGGTTTTATAATATATTTTTTCATTTATATATTATACTAAAAGTCATTATAATATATTATTTAAGTGTAAATTTAATATTAGTTCCAAATAATGTTAAATCGCAATATTAGAAGGGGTTATATAATACCTTTCAATTAAAGAAGGATTGATAAAAATCAAGATGTTGGGATACACTAAAAGGTAAGTAAGTTCGTAATCGAATAAAATCAGGACTCACCGTAAAGCGTTCTGGTATATGATCTGGTATTGATGGTGGATTAACTATAATTTATGTTTTATATTAATTCAGAAACGCGGTTTGACAATAATTTGTTACAACTACTCACATATACGCACATATACTCGTATGTACGCTTTAAAATTGTTAACTTGTATGTAATTAGTCTTGTTCTCTATATAGAGACTATATAACACTTAATAAGAGTGACAAGGCTTCCTATGCGATATCTGGGTGATATTAAATTTGTACATGTAAACAATACGACATTATTTATTATTATTGTCATTTAGGTACGTTTTGATAGTCTGCTTACTATCAAAACCTACTTAAATGACACATAATAAACAGTGTCTCTTTCGGACGAAAGGTGAGCCTACCAGTTTTGAAATTTAAGAATAGACGTAGAGCACACAAGAGGTAGACTGTAAAAAGTGTTTAACTCAACTAGTGCAGTTCTCATTTCAGCAAGCAGCCGAGATAACCACGAATGCGGTTTGTAAGCTGTTTCGGTAGTTGCTATTTATTATAGGGTCGGACTAGGTAATTACTGCAAAAGAGGCATAACATCTTAGTTATCTGAAATTATGATCTATGTGAGGTATCATGAGGGTCACACGATAATGTGACATCTGTATGTAGTACTGCTTATGTAGTATTATAGACGAGTGGTAACACACCACTTACCATTAAGTGGCCAGTCAGCTTGTTTGCCATTACATATAAGCAGTATTTAGAGAGCTTCAATCGTATTGTAATAGAAAAAGAATTGAAGTTATTGTGTTGTATTATTTGAATTTGTAAATTCTGACTACAGATATGTATAGAGTAAAAAAGTAGTGTAAAAAGAGAAAAACCTTGCGCAATGCAGCAGAGATGGAAAATACAAAGAAGTTTTAATATCTTCACACAAACAACGTTAATACCTGATTAATATGTGCAAACAAAAGAGTTGTTTTGGCACAGATGTATATATATAATTTCTGATTGCGGTTTATGAGTATTATACCATTACATAAGTGTAATTCCTTGTAGTATGTAAAAATAAAGAGGAATGTAGTTTCAGGTAATACAGAATATAACTACATGAAGTGTTATCATCATCCTTTTGACTTTTTGAGGTTATTTGGGATTTTACTTAGGTGGATTTTGTACAAAGTCAACTTCGTGGGTACATCTGTCTCACCTTTTATGCAGCCAGCTTATGTCGCAGTTTGTTTTCAAGCTGTTTTGGTTGACAAAAGGTTTGGGAAGGAAATGACAATATTTTTTTTTAAGAGAAAGATTTATTAGGTATTTTATTACAACAATACATTTTAATAATAATAATTCAGTTTTACAAACAGTGGTTCAACCACGACATTGCAATATGGTATAGAAGGTTTAAAGTTCAAAGAGAAGATTTTTTAAGAGCTATCAACGTATCCGCTATTGCGTCTGCTACAGCATCTGCGACCTGTATAGTTGAATTGACACCCATGATACCGACGCGAAGTGCCTTGCCCACTGTGGGTCCCAGTCCAGGAAAAATCAGGATGTTATGACTGCAAATAAATAAACATATTGAAAATATTATTTATTTGAGTAAGCAATTTTAATAAAACCAAGTTATTTAATATTATATAACTTTACCAATGCCAGTAAACTTCTGATATTATACAATGATGTTTCATTGTGTAATATTATATAGAAAATTTACATTAATTATGGGAAATTTTCTTAATATAAGAGTGGTATAAATAAAATTGTATTACATAGCTGGTTTTAATATAAAGCCAGAAAAAAATAGTCAGCCAGTCATAAAAGGTGTTTTATATCCTACATTTTGTGAGCATAATGGTTCTAGTTCTAGTTTAGACATGTTATGATTACATGTATCTTGTATGTATGAAAAAATGCATACTCACTTTTTTATCATATACTTTACAAACTCTATATAGTCGTAACCTTTTGGCAGGACCACAGTCGTCACAGTTACCAGCCGGTCTTCAGGTTTAGGGATTAGAAGTTCCAGAGATAATTCTTGAATACGTTTCTGGAAATGTGCTGTGGTTCTGGAATGGCGAGCCCACGCTTCGGGTAGAGTCTCCTTGATTAGCTCCTTTAGGCAGGTTCGAAGTGCCCATAGCAGTGGTGGTGATAGTGTGTGATGATATCTGTTGAAATATTCAAGCTGTATTAGCTATATCATTATATAATGCATAATAACATTTAGCTATATATAAGATGAATTGCTATGACGGTAGACGGTAGATTTGATATACCATGAGAGTATGTAAGACTGACCTACATGAATAAACATATTTTGATTTGATTTGTACTGTGTATAGCAATCAGTTTAAAGGATGATATATTGCAGTAAAATTACCGTACGTATACTAATTAGGTATAATAAACAAATACAGTTTTTAATTTTGCACGATATTATTTTTAAATTGTCGAATCATATCAAAAATAGGTTTGGCCAAACGTAAAAATTAACTACGCAATAGAAAAATTTTTCAATAAGTAAATAATTTTATTTGTATTTTCGGTTATGTTACAGTACTGTGAAAATACATTTTAACATATAGTGGATACACATGCCAATTGAACTAGTATAGAATTATATTGTATCTCATGTGTTACATACTTTTTCAGGGTGCATTATTTTTAGAATGTTAATATTTACAGAACAAAAAGAGTAACTAAAATATAATGCCAGTTATACAATTATACATTACTGATTACGCACGAAATACAAAATGAAAATAAATTGAAAATCTAAGTATAGAAATAAGTTTTCTTAATATTTTTCTACTGAAAAAGCAATTTCTTGTGATAAAAATGCGACTACATACTTTCTTGTGTTTCCAAAGCAGTTCCATTGTGCAGCTAACAATTCAATGTCGAAGTAAAACGGTGGTTTAAAGTTCCTCTTTTTAATGACTTCTCTGAAAGGGATGAAATATAAATCTTAAACTCGTTTAATCTCTTAAGGTTTAAACTTTTTCTGGATCAACAGTTTTTCTGAGAGTTGTAACCAGCAATTCTCATTCATTATAACATTGTAATTACTTTTTCTAGATACTATTGTCTAGAACATTAATTGAATAAGTTTGTTAGGTGTATTTATGTATATTGATACAGGTCACATATCATAAAACCTTATATTATAAGAGAGTCGCAATTGAGAGGTTTCCTGTCTTAAGTTATATTCCTGAAAGGTCGTAATATAAACGATATAATATAAAATTTCGGGGTTCATTTGCATTTTTTTTACTTTTTGGTGCATCACTGTTTGAATTGTACATTATCCTACAATCTTAATCATCCCATATCAAGATGTATATTACATTAATGTATTATGTACAAAACCCATTAAGTTATGAGCACACGGACAAAGCCAGGGCGGTCCATTAGTAATACAATATTGTAACTCACTGGGCTCGCTCACTGAATGCAACAGGCGAAATACCCGCCGGTCCACTGAGTACTTTTTGGGTCGAGGAGTATACTCCATCGACACCCCATTCGTCCATTAGGAAAGGCTCCGCTGACAAAGAAACTACTGTGTCCACCAATAAGAGTGCACCATATCTAAAAAAAATCATCAGAATAACGACGATACAATAAAAATATTACGTCATGCATCATCTCGATTTAAAGAAAGGATGGATGTAAAGGGAGAGGATGACTGCAGAAAAGATATATGGATTGTGTATGAAGATATGATATGTTAAAGGTGAGGATGTCAGCCATTATGGCTGATAGGTATAACGGCAACGATGACATATTATAAAAATTAACATAATTAACTAAGATAAAAAGTAACCATGATGAATAAAATATACACACTCTCTCATTTAGCATTTATATTAGCTGTTTGGATTATTCATACAAGTTCCATGTGATTTTTATATAATTGTATTAAACCTATTTTGTATTAACTCGTAACAGTAATAGTTTTTAATGCCATTTACTAACTTGTGACATAATGTACCGAGACCCTCTATTTTCTGTACAGAACCTGTAGATGAATCACCATGAGTGATAAATAATGCTTTTGGACGTATTCTCTTCAGCAGACCCTCAATTACGGCAAAACTAAAAGTGGTATTAAATGGTATACGATGTACTATTGCGTTGATACCTGTGGCAAAAATAGCAAAATTAAATTTATGTTATACCAGCTTTTGTAAGCGATTTCGAGACATGATTGAAGGAGATTAAAGTAGCATATTACTGTTATCAGTGTCTAATGCTATTTACATATATGATAAATTTCATAACAATTAGCTAAGACGTTAAGACGAAACAAACAAATTCATTTTGCATTTAAATGTCGTATATCATAACTATTAAAATTGATAATAGCGGTGAATGTTATTGAAATTTTGTTCTCAGACGTTACTAAATACTGTAATAATTAAATACCGTATCTTGTGGCCATATCCAATGCTCTATCGTCCCATATACCCCTGGCACATATGAGAAGCTTCTGTTTAGGGCCAACTAAATTGCTAATAACTGCTTCCATTCCTGAGTGTCCAGAGCCACTCATGGCAAGTACTAATTTGCTTTTAGTCTGGAAAGCATATTGTAAACCAGCACGGATATCATCCATCACCTAAAAATTAAAAGACTATTATTGTATTACAATGTATTGTAGGCATTTCTCCAATGTATTAATTATAAACATCAAAAATAAGGTATAAAATTCGATTGCATATATTGTGTGTTAGATATTGCCTTTTTTACTTATTGTGATATTTATTTATTTAATTTACTACGTCGTCATAACAATCCTTTACCATCCCATTGTTATGCGTATACAGTGATTTCTTTCGAGTGTTTCTTCTCTTGAATACAATTTATGTTTTGTTGCTATAGTTGCTTCATCGATATTGAAAAGAAAAAGTTATTTGTTATACGTCGTCATACAGTCTTTTATTCAACGTATTTAGGTAACTACCTTTAAACATATACATTACTTACATTAAATAGTTCATCACAAAATGGAGATAGAATCGGTTTCGTGAGAGCCTCGTTGACAGACGGCCAGATATCAGATGGTCCAGGTCCGCAAAGCAATGGTTTAGAGAACTGACGATCCTTGATTTTTGGAGCAGGAACTATCAGCTTATTTTCATACATGTTGTTTCACTATACTGCCAAATAAATATACAATATGACCAAATTTAGGTAATACCAAATTATATATATGAAAAAAAAAACTATGAAGAAATTCTTATAAAGTAGTAGTAGTATTTTTTTTAAATTTGAAGTACGTTTGCGCGTGTTTAGACACACACTATTACGCGTGCGTTAAGAGCGTGAAAAACGCGATATGCGCATGTCAATGTAATCATAATGTATGTTTGATTCATTTTCGTTTGTACGTATCTATTTCGAGAAAAAATATGTATAGTTAGGGAATATACTAAGGAATAGTTATTAATGGTTAATAGGATCTAACATGGAATAAAATAGGTAGCTTACTTTTTTAAATAATACGTATAAAGGTAATATAAATCCAAAACATTATTAAATTTAGATGTTTTACATTTTGGGGCAATATCAACAGCTAAATTAATGTTGGCGTAGTACTTATACTATGCCAACATTAATTTAGCTGTTAATTTAGCGAAAAAAATACATTTTACTCGTGAGATCGCTTGTAAAGCTTGAATTTACTAACTTCACACAAAAAATAAAACATTTAACAATTTTTATACTACTACGTAGTACTGAAATGGTTTGTACCGCTGGGTCTACTTAGTTATTAACTTTTACTTCCGCGAAATTTTGCCTCTATTACCTTTAGTAGTGTAATTTACAAATAGTATGTTTAATATTTACATGTATATTAATGTTTTATTTTTAAATTACTTTAAAAACGATTTATGTTTTATAATGGGTACTAAATCAAAAGCTACTTGGGTATACTTGAACCGGAACTACTTATTTCTTTATTATTTACATACCATAGTGTATGTTATACTTATATTATTTCCATAGTGTAGGTGAGTAATGTGTATAAACGCTTAATATACGTAGTAAAAATCTGTTTTACAGCGTGCAACCATCCTCACAGCTAATACTACCCCATAATGTCTCTATTAACTTGACGATTGGCTAAGCATGCGCAATTTTCCAAATAATTTGCTCTCGTGACCAACATTTCGGCCAAGTATTTGAAGATCGGTTACGGGAATTGGGTTAATGTTTAGATTTAGTGCTAATAGGGTGGTTATAAATTTGTTACAATGTTCTGGGTGTTCTGGCGCTATCCGATATCACATTTGGCAAGTGCACCGAGCCTGGGGCGTGAGTTGCCTGCCAGCCTCATATTTGTTCCATTTGCTATCGCTTGATGTTCCCATACTTTATAATTATTTAAAATGCTTATTCAAAAATAAAATCATGTAAATGACTCATAAACTTAATAAATGGGACATGCAAGCTCAAAGTTATATTACATAATTAGTAGTGTTATGCTGAGTGTTAAGGTAGATTTAAAACATAGCGAGTCAATGCTTGTTCGTCTTTTAAATAAAGCTAAAAGTTGTATTTGTTACTTGAATGTCTCTATGTTTATATAGTTTGAGTATAATATAGAAATTATATGTATACCTGCTTCTAGCTACAGTGTTGCAAGTGCAGTAATTTAGTAGTTTATATAAAAAATAAAGACGTGATGTACAAATATAAGTTATGTTATAAAAAATATATTTTTAAATTAAAACCAATCTCTTTTAGTTTACTACAGATATATCCATTATATTGGTGTTGGACGATAATAAAAGGTCGAAAGGTCACTTGATACGTTCTCTCTGTTTAAACTCGCTATCCAATCATTACAAAGTGTGTTTTCAGATAAGAATTTGTACTTTACATAGTCGTAGGAGATCGAAACAGCAATGTTGCTGCGACAAATTGATTCGATTCCCACGACGACTCGTCCTATCTGTAGTGTTGCCAACAATTTTTGAGCAAGACCAAATCCTTGACCTCATAAAGCACACAAATAACCAGCAGTCTTTGAACAATCTAATATGAAAAAATACTTATTTTAAATGTAAAATATATTAGAAAAAAGACGTTAAAAATAATCCAGTCATTGCTGCATTTAATGCTATAGTTAATAACCATTCTAAAAACTATCTATTAAAATTAAGTAGTAACTAAGTTTTATCAAATGAAATGTTTTTAATTTTCTTTGTTTTCCAAGCATCCTAATTTATCATCCAAATATATCACCTGACGCAATTTTTGTGTAATTCACCAGTTCACGTATTGTACTGATTCTGATAGCCCTTAACTTACGATTTGAGTCATAAATTTTATTATATACTAGCGAGACGCTACGACTTCACACGGGTAGTAGAATCTAATAAAATTCTAACCTAAATTTTCGTCGATATTTACTCTATTTACAAATATTTAGTCTATACACTTGTTGATAGGTTATTTTTAAAGGTATTCATTTACCAGGTTGTAGTGCTAAAGCCATTTGGCTTTACTACTGTAACTGGTGGATGAACACCTTAATAGTTGGCAACACTGTCTATCTGTGCTTCCCAGAGGACAAAGCGAGGCGAAGCTATAGGGAGTCGTGATGGAAAATAACACTGTCGTTGAGTGTATCTTCTCCTTGGTGGTTCAACTGTGAAACACAATTGATAGATATTTACTAGTTTTTTCTCGACGACAGATCAATATAAATGCTTTGTTTTATGTTTATTAGTAAATTAGTAATTATCAAAGTTTGGTTATAGTGTTTATTTCCATTATTACTCCTATAGTTTAAATATAAAGCAATCTATTTGTGAACACATTTTTGTTTATTTTGTCTGTTATGTAAATTCGATCTTGTTCAAAATCCAAAATTCTTAAGGTCCGTTGATTTTGACAGTACATGATTTCTTATGTACACACTGTCTGTAACTTATTGTGTATACATTTACTGTAAACATAACATTTCATGTTAATTAGTTTAGCTTTAAATTTGATAAATTAATTGACATTACTTACATATTAAATGTTATGTTTAATACACAAATAATGATAATACGTGATGACCAATAAAACTTTCTTTCACACAACAAAATAACACTCACCAAAAATCAAAACGGAATGCAAACTAGTAATTTTTTTTACACTGAAATCCAGTATCGAAGTATGATTTTGAAAATTATTTACAACAAATACACTCCAAAAATATACATATAATCGGCCTCACACTGTTAGTCAACACAATATACTGATACAGACAGACAGTGCAGAGATAAGTAATTGCTCTTGACAGCTTGAAACTCGTAAGTCTGTCTGTTAATAGATATTCGATTAGTGATATTTAAATAGTACATAGTATAGTAGTAGTTATGAAATTGTTGTGGCCTAGTAGATAATAAACCACATTTCAAACCTTGAATTGGAGTAATAACTGGAATTTATAGACCTTAATGTGGTGATATTTAATCTAGTCGACACCAGCGCCAAATATTCAATTTGAACGATGTGATGTTATTTCTAAATATAAACGTGTATATACGAGTACTTATACATAATATTTTTTTTATGGATGATAATAGTATGGTTCCAACGCTTGCGCTAACGGTTTATACTGGCGGAGCCAGTGGAGGATGATATGATCAGCATGAGGTCAGGTCAGTTAAATCGTGATAAATTCAACAGTAATTTAGCATGATGGTTTCCATGGGGAATAGTGTGGAAATTAATGACATGGTACATTACTAGCAATGGGGTCATGAGACTCATCAGTCCGCATTACTAACAGTTTCCTCCCCCTCCCGTAATGTCATATTCTAATAATCATAATAATATATCCTCACGACTATTAACTCCGAGGTAGTCAGAAGCATTGCCAACTTTTAATGACATGGTTCCATGGCAAATAATGGCACAGTCGACGTGCCCACATTTCGCTATAAATATTTGATCACAACGTGGCAGGCGATGAGTCTATAGCCAAATTAGATTTGTCGTAGATAAAAATTGACACAAATTTTTGTATCTGCTAGATTCGAATCCTGGAATTGGACGTCGGACCAGCACACGCCGCTCACTGTCAAGTGCATAGAGAATAATCGTTCCAATACATTCAAGCATAGCACAACCCCTTTTACGTACATCTATATTGCACTTCGTAGAATGCAATTACAAGAGTTTTCTGCGCCAAGTTATCCTGAAGATCTAGATAGTTGTGCAAAAAGACAAGTTACGAGTGAATGAAACCGTGAATGTAATTAAATTGTTCGGTTTCTCGTATCTTGTGCTCTTTGGGAAACTAAGTCATTTTTCTACTTAGCTTTCTATTGAATTATCTTCTATATTTCTATATATCTCACGTAATATAAAATATACTTGAAGTATCTTAACACATGGCATGTCTTTCTGAGAGTGTTATTTGAAATTGAATAATATTCATAATTTACAAATATCAATATTATTCAATTAGATATTTACAAATTTGGGGTATAGTTAGTGTTTACTTCCATTCAGTTTCTGTATACATTTTTTTGGTATGTATTTTATTTTATGTAACTGGAATGGCAAACAAGTTACTGACGTACCTGATGGTAAGTGGTAAACATTGCCATTTGGTAATATAACATTAGCAGCACCATATATTATATTATATTATAATTAAAATGTAACTACTTGAAATCATAAAATCTCCGGAAATTCAAAATATTGTGCTCCTATGGTGTAAAATCTTTAACACGTGTGGTATGGTGAGACGATTCCATAATATAAATATTAGTTATTGTTGGAATTCAATATCTTTTATTAGCTACATGAACGGCCTCCTCCATCGGTTTAATACACCGATTTACTGCCGATGGCCGGGGGTTCGATTCCTCGCACAGTCCAAACATTTGTTTCATACTCATGATTGTTTGTACAACAATTTGAGTATTGTTTACGCATGTTATATATGTATTTACAAAAAATATATCTCTAAGTATTTATATCAGTTGTCTAGTACCCATAACACAAACTCTACTAACCGCGGGACTAGATGGCGTTGATTTGTTAGTTGTTCAGGGTTATTTATTTATTTTATCTTAAATCTGTACAGTTTATCTGTAATCGCTCTCTTTAGTTTTACACTAATGTGTAGCATGAATTATTTAAATCACTTGTAATTTAAATAATTCATGCTACACTTTTATTGTAACAACACTACAAGTTTTATTTTCGAAATACATTTAGTGAAAATGAATCAGATTTGTGTAAAGTCTTGACAAATTGTTCAGGACAGAAAGTTTTTCACTCGCACCAGGCGTTCTCCCGTCTGCAAAGTTTGAACTTTCAGCACTCCTGCATTCAATGTATTGTATAATATATAGCAATACATTTTATTTTCTATATTTTTTTAATTCCTCTTCTATATAAACGTTTTTATGGCAACTATGCTGTACTGTTTATTTAAATAAAACAATTTAAAAGTATTCAATATCGACCCTTATTCCAATTTAAAGAATAGAAAACAATATTGCTATAGTATTCGTAATAATATTTTCGACGTTATTGTCATGCACATGCTTCACGCAGTCCCTCACTTGACAATGCTCGCGAACTACTCCTTCACGATAGACTAACGTTTGTAGGTATTCATGGATATTACACAAATCGTATTTTTTAAACATATATAATATACATAGAAAATATTATAATTATTTATTTTCTACTCTCTATTTCACCAGAAATGCATTGTAATAAATATAATTACACAGTAACAAGACACAAATGCAGTATATCGCTTATGCAATTTAGACAGTATTTGAGTAAAGGAGGAAAGACTTTGGGAGAGAAGAGACGTGATAGATGGGCCATGAATGGAATGAAAGAAAATTTTAACATATTTTTAGGCTAGTTTCTAGAGAATAAAATCGTAATTTTGTACGATTAAGTTAGTCGTGTCACGTCGTCATCGTTTTCTGTGTAGTATTCATTGATGAATGTGATCACACATTTATCCTATATATATATACATGAGTATGAATGTAAATGTTTATAAAATGTTTACCCTTTCACTTCGTTATTGGCCCAACAGGCGGGAAGCGTTCACACTTATTCATCCTCAAGTAAATAACACAAACCACGGAACAATTTTAAATGAAATCCCTTTCTCTCGCAGAGTTAATGTCCCGGGAGACTTTTCTCTGGTTTTAATTTCCGGAGTGTTTACACCGAGGAAATAGTTTGTTGGTAACCTAGCTCTATCTCTTGACGTTCCAATGTATTATAAACAAAACCACATAGTTATTTGCTTCGAATTGAGATTCTATTCATGAAATGCATTAATTTTTAATATATTCTGTGTTTAATTCTGCATACTTATTTATTATGATTTATGATTAAGCACTAGCTGTTATCTTATTCTTCGTCTCGCGTTTTTGAGATGAAAGATAACCTATGTCCGTTCTCCTTTTTCAAGACAAATTTAATTAAGATACGGATAATATATTTATTTATATTTATGAAATAATATATCTGTAAATATTGACATTTGCATGAAACTTTTAAACCTATAAAATAATTTTGTATGTATATTTATGTAGTTTAGCATAACTTGTTAGCCCTCAGAAATGTTTTGGTTCATCGTGTTTGTTTGTCACATATTAAAATATTGCTGTGAGATGGTAAAATAAAATAATCGCATTATTTAACAATATTACAACTTAGTACCTATATAATATTTAATGCTTAATTAGGTGCAGGGTTATCTGTACTAAGATAAAGATGTGCTGCTACGCAGTGCTACAGTTTAGCTCAGCTGCGTAATTATCTTGAGGTTTCCTTTCTATTTCCTTTCACTACAAGGAGTTATGTTATTGGAATGGAAAGGGTAAAGTTGGACAGTTACCATTATAATAGTAATCTTTGCCTATAAGCCTGAACAGTACGGATATCACGGTATTATAGTATGTCCACGATACCTGTGATACGGCTCCTGTGAATTCACTAAAAACAAAAACTAAGTGATTATTATTTGTAATCCTTAGAGTACCGGTTTACAGGTTATATTGTTCCTTTTTGGGAGCGTAGTTTAAATATTAAATAAAATAAACAAAAAAAGACTTCCAAATATCTATTCTTCATTTGATATAGTTCTGATAAAAATATATACTGGAATAAACCTAATTTTCTATGTAAGGACGATGTTATACCGTGGCAATGGTCTCTGAATATTTATAACTACCATTTACGTAGGCATCTTATCTCATATTTATTTATGACATGTTTACTTTACTTTCTGTCCCAGCGGATATGACATTTAAAAGTTGGAAAAATACGTCGGAAATCGAGCGAGCTCAGAAAGCCGGAGTGCATTAGTCGATTTAAGGCGACCATTACTCTGTGCCCATTATTTTTACAGTTCGTTTGGCAACCGACGTGGCCGGCCGCAATTTTCAGTTAGTCGACTAACTCTTGCTCTCGTTGACTGTTTTAATGTTCCGACAAATAGTTTCTACTTTAGTTTATTTTTAATTAAAGTACCAATGAATATTGATTTGATGGCGTATCTTTTGTTTTCAATAGTAATTATAACTTATTATAGAAATCGGGTAATATGAACCGTATACGAATAAGAGTATATTTCTAGTTTGTTTTAAGAGTTTGTTTGAAGTATCAGAGAAGTACAATGTAGTGACTCAACTTATTTAAGCGAGTTATTTTGGCAACCAATTTTTAAGCGAAGGGCAAGACGATGGTTTAACTTCCGGCTTTTTTGAACTAATTGGTGACGGGGAAAACCGGTATATTCCGGTCTGGAACCTATTAAAGAGAGATAAAAATTTTAGTCTAGTATAATAGTTGAAAATGTTATTTTACCAGATGGATACTTTGTACAATTTCGCCTGTGTGGAACTGTTTCGCATTTAGTTCTGTGTGTGTAAAAGAAAAGCCATTCGACGAGTAACTAAATTTCTATATAATATGTACATACAAATTGAGTTATTAGATAAAGAACATAAGTATAAAGTATTGTATATTTATTATTATTATTATCATATATTTTTTTTTTTTCGTTTATTATGAATTATTGTATAGTTAGCGTTATTTTTATATTCTACATACATGAGAAGTTAAATGTAACTTTTTTTCATATCATTAGCAATCTACAAAATTAGATGATAACCATTAACTTATTTTCGAATACAGCAGTCTAATTATTTTGTATTTAATATCATTAGCATTAAACTATAGTTTTAATAAGATTAAATGGTTTGAATTAATACTCGAATT